CTTAATCCTCGAGATTATGGCTCTTATCGTTCCTATGCTGTTTTCTTTATTGATTAATACAATTATGCCCGATGCAATTCAAACTTAAAGCTGTAAATTTACGGAACACCTATAAAATTTCCTTGAAACTTTTTCTAGCTCACGTTATAAATCTCGATATTCTCATTTCAAATTTTCTCTCTCGTGGCATAAGGTTTGAAATTCAATGCTCACTTCAGTTTCCATTTTACTGAACATATAACATCTCTCTTCCTATTGAATGACCCGTCTAGAACCGTAATTGATGTCATGTTTTATTAGTTGCCTATAATACCCACTGCTTTCAATTTTTTAATATAAACAAATCCTCGAAAACATTACGGCAAACTCTTATTTTATCGGAAGCTTTTAGAATCCAAATGAAATTATTGAATTCACTCTGAGTTTCACTGGTAAAGCTAGCTCGACATATGCATTCATTAAGTACTGACATTTTAATCGTGCTATTACCCGAATACAATTACTACCAACGGACGCCCAAGCTTAGAATTCTAATTACTAGCTGGTGGAACGTCGTGACCCACGTTACGGCCTTCTGACAGCTTAAGTTCCATGGCTTTGTAATGCTTTTGATTCTGGTCATTAATGAAGCTTATAACACGCAGGTGCCAGAGACTTAGTACCGCAGGATAACCGAACGATGGAACAGTAGAATTACCAGGCCTTTCCCATTACTGCCAGCCAGTCGGACTTGCCTGTTACAGCTGCAAACAAGTCAGCGTCACATACCATCTCTGCTAACAAGTCAGCGTCACATAACATAGCTGCAAACAAGTCAGCGTCACATACCATCGCTGCAAACAAGTCAGCGTCACATACCATCGCTGCAAACAAGTCAGCGTCACATACCATCGCTGCAAACAAGTCAGCGTCACATACCATCGCTGCAAACAAGTCAGCGTCACATACCATCGCTGTAAACAAGTCAGCGTTACGTACCATCGCTGCAAACAAGTCAGCGTCACATACCTTCGCTGCAAACAAGTCAGCGTCACATACCATAGCTGCAAACAAGTCAGCGTCACATACCATAGCTGCAAACAAGTCAGCGTCACATACCATCGCTGCAAATAAGTCAGCGTTACATACCATCGCTGTAAACGAATCAGCGTCACATACCATCGCTGCAAACAAGTCAGCGTCACATACCATAGCTGCTAACAAGTCAGCGTCACATACCATCGCTGCTAAAAAGTCAGCGTCACATACCATCGCTGCTAACAAGTCAGCGTCACATACCATCGCTGCTAACAAGTCAGCGTCACATACCATCGCTGTAAACAAGTCAGCGTCACATACCTTCGCTGCAGACAAGTCAGCGTCACATACCATCGCTGCTAACAAGTCAGCGTCACATACCATCACTGCAAACAAGTCAGCGTCACATACCTTCGCTGCAAACAAGTCAGCCTCACATAGCATAGCTGCAAACAAGTCAGCGTCACATACCATCGCTGCAAACAAGTCAGCGTTCCGTACCTGAAAGCGAGAGCGTTAGATCTCCTGGGGCAATCGTGAGGTGGTCGTTACAGCTGTGAACAGCAGCGTCTGAGTGATGAATCTCTGGTACTTGCGAGTACACGTCGCTTGAAAATCATCATTTAAGGCATGTCGCCGAGATCAATGATATCGTTTTCGTTAACATTCTCGTTGGCAACCTTGCATTCGTTGGCAACCTTGCAAGAGTGTTAAGTATGATTTATTACTGTGGATTTGAAATTTTCGGACGACGCCAAGAATAATTACGTTTCTTTGTGAATTATACTCGCTCATCAAGTATTGGATTACTGGTTCTGAGCTCGGGAACACGAGCAGTTCAAACTCATCGTGTAATTTGTAAAGAACTTTTTGTATGAAGTCTGCGATGATTAGGATACTGTATTTGCTTTTCATCCGTTTTGATGTTGTTTTCTTTGCAATTTTCTAAATTCTTCTTTGATGTTTTTTCTGTTATCTGATTCTTCTGCATCTCCTGAGACTTAAAGTTTAATTACCTGAATACCTGGACACGCGCTTATTTTATTTAAATTCTGTTGACCCTGGCAATCGAAACCAACTTATTGGGTTTCGAACAATGAATTTTCGATCGCCGCAGTGTTTGGTGTCAGTCGTAAATCTTTATTGTTGTTTTAGTAATACCGGCTCTCGGATATATGTATATATTTTAAGGCCTGAGGTATTTTGCTTCGGAGTAGTAATTACCGAGGCCTCATGAATTTATAAATAATTGCTCACAGCGAACGATAGTTGATTTTCCATTGAGGTGTCTGATTTCAAAGTTACGTGCCGAGCTTGAATTGCGTGTTGGAACTTGGAAATGATGAGGAATCTACTCTTGTTAAGAATTGGAAGTGACTTTTGAACTCAAGAATATCCGTTCAACTTGAGTGCTCTGTAAGTAGTATAAACTTTGTTTATAATTAAATAAGTTTGACTAGTTTGAGTAAGATATCTTGTGAAATTTTTGGTTTGACTGTTCCTCTGCCATTGAATTTTCTCGTTGTTGAAAGTTGGCTTAATTTTTATTGAAGGTTGACTCTGATTCTCACGAACTCGGAACACTTATTTCTTTGTCTGAAGTTCACTCCTTCACTCGGGTTGTATAAAAAACCAATTAGTGTTTTGTCGCTATTCCCTTCATAAATTTATTCATTTCTAATGCCTGTTTGGCTAGCCTTCTTATTCCGTGAATTGTATTATTACTCAGTGTAACAATCAAACCTCAGGTCTTGCGTCTACCATGTTATAATGAAATAAAAGAATCTAAGCCATGAAACAGACGGTGATCTTCCACACGCACCGTTCTGAGCCGCGACAGCAGAACTGAGTGATATAACCTGTTTTGACAGCACCGTTTGTTCCATGCGGTTGTCGATTTTCGTTGAGCTCAGATCTTATCACTCCTAACTGACCACTCTTGTCAGCTACGTTTGTGTCAGTGGCCCCTGGACGAATGTGCGAGCAATTTTTATCTGGCTAGTCTCTTACTGACTAGCGATGATGACTCCTGAAAGTGGTCAGAAATCCTGTAGACGATTTTTTTATGGGTTAATGATCAGAAAACGCATTTTGCTGCGGTAGGGACTTTTGTAGAAACATAGATATCTTTAGATTTCTTGAACTTGTACCGTTTGTAATTACAGTTGTATGTTAATCGGCAATTTTTGTATGTTAATCAGCAATTCAACAGGGTTCTTTGGGCAACTTTCACTTTCTATCATCATTTAGATTTCGTATTTCTATTTTTATCGTCATTATGAACCAGATTCTCCATTTATGACATACAACATTATTCGGAAGACAACCTTCCCTAGCGCATCACCAGGTTCAAACAGTCCGCTTATTTTAGCTCCTTCTATGCTCCGTCCTTGATATTTTTCTGCACGGCATCGCCGCCGCCCCAAAGTGCTCCTATTTTTTCTGCAAGTAGTGGACTAACTGCGAGGTATTCAGCAGGACAGGTTCTAGCGCCAGACGTACACAGCAGCGCCAGCTTAATTGTCTTGCCGAGAGCGCTCACCACCGCAGTAACTTCGCTAAATTAAAACATGTCAGTGTATTATTAGGCTTCAGTGTGCCTCTTAAAATCCCTTACGACTGCTTTTACGCTCCATGTCTGCTGCATGCTAGCTGTCAGTGGGTTCCTCTCGTATACACGCTTAGGCTGCTTCGTTTTAAAGCTTCTACGATTTCTGCTCTGTCTCGTACGTAATGGTGCTTGTGAATACCTGGTATCTCGAGAATATGATACTACATTCCATTCTTATGTACTCCTGACATTTTCATGGTCGCTGCACTCCGCCTAAAGTCTGTTTTCAATTCCTTCCTTGTGTCTTCAAGTTACTAACTCATTTTAAGTTCTTTTATGGTATTATAAATTTACACGCCACATTTGATTTTATTCGGTACCACAGATTGAAGTTTTTGTGTGTTCTGTTCTTTGTGTTTTTAAATAAGTAGATCTTTAATTTACTATGAGTTACTTTGTTCTTAGCAAACCAAATTTTCAAGCTACGGGCGCGGCGGATATTTTCATCTCTTTCAGTATTCTTCAATAACAGTTATCGCCCACTCGCTTCTACTCACAAATTTCTACTTCTATTTCAAATTTTCGAGATTTCTACGCCTGATGGCCCTGAAATCTCGGATGTTTGGCCTGTAATGACCAAAATAAAATTGTAATTGCATCCCCCTGAAGTAAACAAGCAAAATCAATTAACAATAACTAAATCTCCTGTACATATATAAAGCAAATTATCGAATATCAGCAAAATGAATATATCAAATTGATCAGTAACCAAACATTTGTTTCATGGGTTGTACAGGTAGCTAGCATTGCAATTCTAATACTGGTGCGCGAAGAGGTTGAGTTGTGGGGCCCAGGGCACAGCGGTGGCAGTCGCGCTTTTACTGCTCTACGTTATCCCGCGGAATCAGAAAAATGACACCACTTCCTGGACTCAATTGGCTGCCCTGGGACGTGTTTCGGCGACTCCGTTCTGTCCTTTGAACTTTCTTTGTAGCCTGGGGCCGTCAGACGAGCAAAGATGTCGGCAATGTTATTTTCAGGTTTCCGTTGCTCCTTTTGCTTGGATATTATGTTGGATCGTTCCAAGAAGAACGCGCAGTGATTGCAAGCAAAGTTGTTAAATTTCTGAAAATGTTTCGAAAGCCTTGTACATTTGTTTTCAATTTCCTAATTCAATATTACGAATGATGTACTTCGAGTTAGGAAGTACCAAATACTATGATACAGCTCTCTCCGTTAAATGAAGTTTCTGGCATTCTTCTTACATCGTATGTTACGCACATCTATTTAGCCTAGAACTGAATTTATAGTTTAAGGTGTGTCAGAACAGAATTCATTTTATTTTCTATAGTTTTGCTACCATGCTCTAGTGTAGTTTGTCATGACGATGTCAAAGGTGCTGGAATTAATCTTCCTGTTTCTGTCTGTGCAGTCAAACGTCGCGAGCGCCAGGCCCCTGAGAGTAAGGTGAGTCTTGGGAACAACCTCGAGGTGGACGCTCGAGCTTCAGTACTGGGGCGATACTTTCAAAACTCGCTATGTGAAATTTATACGCTCTATTTTCTTGTCTGTGATTGGCGGATTTTGCTTGAAAGGCCGTCAATGATTGGCTGATGAACTTACGATCTCTTAACTTTTTTTGAAAGTGTAGGCCCTAATCCTGTTCGTTCAACTGGGTAATATTGATAGGTTAGCTTTACGATACAGTATGACGTTGGTTACTGCTACAAGTATACTTTTTTATAGATTTATTGACGCATGCATTAAAATGATGTTTTTTGAGGTCTTTCTATTTGTAGATAAATTTCAATAATCACAATCCACCATTATAAAAGTACGAAAAAATAAATTTCGTAAATGTACGAAAATTTCGCGCAGGGTTGCCTGCGTGAAATTTGTTTAAAATCGTGTGTATTGGACAATTTCTTGTTGATTTCTTCTGTTAGCTGCCGGAACATACTTTTTAAAATTTATATTTGCAATCGTCTTTTCGAATTCGCATATTATATTCGAATTCGAAAAGACGATTTTTTAGAGGCGCTCTTGATTTAACTAAGAATATATATTCTCGTTCCGCTGGAGTTGTCACATTTGGAGGGCATGCATTAGTTCCATTTCAACTTATGTTCATTAAAAAACTTCCATTGGTGCTTTCGCTCTGGATTACATTAGTTTAAGCCAAAAGCTTCTCGAAAATGCACAAGAATTCTTGATTTTCTCCGGCGTCGTAGTAAGCCGAAGTTCCTTTGTTTCATAATTTACGCAATTAGGCTTGGTTTGAAATGGGCTTGTTTAATTATTTTCAGACTTTTTATGTCTTAATTCGTTGTATTCCTACTTGTGGTCTCAATTTTTGGCGAGCTTTCTTCAATCGTCTGGAACTAATTTGTTTCGATGATAGATCATATTATTCGGTGTACGTCACTTCGGCTTTCACACTTCCTCCCGCCTCTTTATATTATTTCTATTTTTTTACTAAATTTCACCTTCCCCGGTCGATCTTTTGTTACATTTAAGCCTAAACTACATGACAGAGCTTGTAACACAAGCAATTGCAATTTTGATTGTCGTGTTTTGTCATAGTTATAATGATATAATAATTTTGTCATAGGCTGTGAAATTTTAGTCATGTACCTACATAGATTAAGGGTACACAGCGGCGCAATAGGGGTCAACTATCAGCTTATTTGCTGACAACCGTTAATTGGTGGCTGCAGGCCCATGCAGTGAAGTCTTGCACCTGTGGTGCGCATTATGTACTTAAATGCAGAGCTTATATTGCTTTGCTGTACATTCTACAGGGACAGAGAACAACAGTTATTCAGAATATAAGGATAATGCATTAAGTATTGAACATGTTTATTATTTTGTGTTTAAAGCTGCCGGAATGTACTTTTTAGAAATGTATGTTTGCAATATTGAAAGTCTCCTTACTAGGTGAACTGTGGGTTTCAATCAATGCTGAATAATCCTTTGGAGTTAAACTAACGACTTTTTGAGGAGTAATGCTGGGTATAAATATATGTATTGATTTAATTGGGCCATAAGTATTAGTGTAGACAAAGAATTTCGTTATTGGAAATGTCCGATGCTTGTTATGCCATGTTAGATTGGATAATTATGTGACAACGTATGATAGCCGCTGGAGTGTATAGAACTTGCATATTGTAGTGAAATCTTTGTAAGTAAATCCGATTGTGCTCGAGATTTCATAAGATACTCCTTTCTAATGCCTAAACAAACGTATTCATGGGAAAATAATAAGACTCTACTCACGTAAAGTCCAATTGAAACGAGTTAAGTTCAAATTAATCGAAAATCAAAGTAAATCAAATTAAAAAATCAATTAAGTTCAAAAATGAAGTTCAAATAAAACGTGAATGAGTAAATCGTTCACCAGTCAAGTTGAAGCTGACGTGCAGAGCACTGCAGTGGTCTCGTCTCCTGACGAACTCACAAGGTCGTTCCAGTCTGCCTGGTATCGACCAGACGCTTCCCAGTCGCCAGCTGACTTCAGCTCTCGCTCTCTAGCTTTCCTTTAAACGTCGCAGAAATATTTCCCCTGAAGCCGCTGAAGAGTGCGGCGTGATTACTAGAGTTTCGTTTGTTCATTCATCACTTTGCCTGAACGGATGAAATGTGTCCCGCGGCAATGAAACGAACGGCTTGAGGTTTGTCTTTTAACGTACTTTTCTGTTTTTGATGCAGCAGCGTTTATTTTCTAAGATATTCTTACGTATCGTAATTTGAGCATATAATTTTCATGTTTGCTGTAGGTCCTTGAATTTCTGAGGTTAAGTTGAAAATTGATGGCATATATATATCAGCTGCACTGTTGTTGTTTCGATCTGATGGACAGGTTTTGATTATAGAAATGGTGGCTTATCTGTTCAAGATCAATTCAGTCTGTCAATTATCAACTAAATAAAATAAGAACATATAGCTTCAGATTTTCAGATCCAATGTGATCTGTGCGCTTGTTCGTGGCGGCTCTTTAAGTTACAATGAATGAATTTAGCGATGCATACTCCTATTAGCAATACAAATTATTTTATTATATTTCAACTACTAATTATTTACATCATTGATCCATGCATGTAAATATTCGTAATAATAACTAGGCAAGTTGCAGTAGCAGGTGCATGGATCAGTGCCACGCAGCATGGCAGCAAAGTTAGGTTTATTTGCACAGCTGCTGTGAAGTATTAAAACACTCCCGGGGTCTGGGGGAGATCGCTCCCTGCTGGTCTGTATGACAGCGACGTGACTCATCGCTGCCGCTGCCACCGCAGATCTCCTCGACTTCAATGAGGTGCACCGGCGTGCAGGCTTCTCTTCGTACAGCTAGGGTGAACCAGAATTAACTGATCCTTTTAATTTGTTAATAAATAAAAAACTAAGAACGTTATGAAGTTGAAACTTGTTTTATTTAAAAAAAGAACATTTTTATGGTAATATTGTATCCTAGTTTTTAGGATACAATAACTAACTAGGATAGGTACAATATTGCATACAATATTTTAACTAATACATATTATTAATACATAATAAATATTTTAACTAATACAATAATAAAATATTGTAATAGGATACCTACAATATTACCCTAAAAATGTTCTTCTTTTAAATAAAACAAGTTTCAACTTCATAACGTTGTTAGTTTTTTATTTATTAACAAATTAAAAGGGTCAGTTAATTCTGGTTCTCTTCGTATATACTCGTTTTTATATACCTGTGAATTTGACTTTTAAACCTTCATACAGGTATAGTGAAGTAAATCTTCAATATTTTCATGTATAAAGCATGAAGTAACTATGAATTTAGCCTTTAACCCTTGGATTGGATTCAGGTTGCCTTCGTTCAGGAAACTAGGCATATCTTCCGACCCTAATGCTGACCAAGTTAACTCATTCTAAAGTTTTATAGAAGCTTTCCATGCATCCAGGATAATGCTTTGATGCCTCAGATTTGAACCGCTCTAATTTTATTAGACTGTCTAATTGTTAAGATTGTCAATTTCACTTGTTAGGCCAATCTGCCAAATTTAATGATATTTCGCAGACATGCTATGTTTACTGATGTAATTTTCTATAGTTGTGATCGCAGTTAAATATGTCAACCTCATCCACAAAACTTGTGACCCGCTTTAAGGTCAGATCTTCTTGTATAAATGTTGCGTGCAGCGGTGCACGCGAGCTGGGAGAGGAAACCAGAACATCTCATCGCTGAAATTACCATCTATTTTTAAACAATTTTCTGCACGGCAACTGAATTTTTGAAACCTCCGTTATCATTGTTCGTCGTCTTGATGAGCTTAGAAGTCCTGTAGTTAAGTTATTAAATCCACGAGACTTCAGATTTATCTTCTTATGTCAAAGCTTCATATTATTTCCAAATGGAAGAGAAGATCTTTTTTTTTTGAGGTAGCTCTGAAATATCGAAACATAAATCTCAATTTTCCTCGATGGGGTTTGCTACCATGCATACATACATATACGTCGATTATACGTCTTCGAAATAGATTACAGCACACAATTCAAGTTCGAGATACTTGAGATACGTTGTATTTCAGTGTGAATAATAGCGCTTTATCCTTCGATTTGTGTTAATTATTGTTAGTGTACAACATTGATCCTATTGACAATAATCGCTGTCACTCCACTAATGTGCATGTCAGTGGGCCATCAGCCTTGGACGCCTGCGTGCTGATTGTCACTGTAATTCCATGTCTATTCTCCGTATCAACAGATTGTGTGAATGTTTGCATTCCCATCATTTATAGTTAAAAATATCGGTCAATTTGGAACGACTTTGAAGGGAGCTATAATTCGTCCATGCCTATTAGTCAGTATCAACAGATTGTGTGAATGTTTGCATTCCCATCATTTATAGTTAAAAATATCGGCCAATTTGGAACGATTTTGAAGAAAGCTATAATTCGTTATTGCTGTAGACTTTTAGAGCAGAGATGATGTTTTTGCAAGTTAAACTAATTGCAATTGTTAACCCGTTTCAGTATAGTGTTAATTCTGTACTTCGTTCATGACGTCAACTTCACACTCAGTGTCATGGTAACCACTATTGCTTGTCATTAGCTGTTCCACTATGAAATGAAATAGTTTTCAGGGAAAGATTTAAATTTAAATGGCTTTATGCCCGTTATTATATACGGTATTCTCATTATTCTTGTACTGGAAACTATAGTATTCCTTACGATTACCAATACCATCCATGTTATCTCATCACAATACTAAACAACCAACAATGATGTCATTCTTGATGTGTGCGATTTTCCGTAATGAATTTCTGCGTTCGGAGTCTTGCATGTTCACTGTTCCTTCTGCTCACGCGTCGGCGCTGGCTGCAGCCGCTCTCTGCCAACGTTGCTGTCGCCGCTCTCTGGCATAATCGATAGAACTGGGAGTGGACAGTCGCATTTCAATTCACCGCATCACATTAAACCACGT